TTGGGAAAGCTGGTTTCATCCCTCACTATGGGTGTGGGAGAGATGGTTCTACCCCTCACCAAAGGGAGTTGGTCCCAGTGGCCTGGCCAGACCAACTCAGCTACTTCCTTGACATACATCCAGGACTTTGAGTTGGTACACTCCAACATCTACCCCATCTATGACCTGCTGGAGCATATGAAGGGACTGGTCCTGCAAACCATAGTCGCAAGATCTCCATGACTCTGGGAAGTTGCAGGATATCTGAGAGGAGTTTTGGTGAGGGTCCAGTATTGATGGGGTGCCAGAAGCTAGGGGCCTTGAACCTGACCAACAAGTCATTACACAATGAGCATTTGCAAGGAAAGATCTTTGGACAAAAGAGTCTACTGCATGATACACAGCAGCTCCCAGTGCCACTGAGATGAATGAAGAGGTGATGGAGAGGTGGGAAAGAGGGAGGAGTGAAGTGTTTTTTTTTAATTAATATTTTTATTTGTATTTTTAAATTTTCATCATGTTTCAATTACTTCTTTTATAGTTTTTCTTGGGGTGGGGGAATGTTACAAGAGTGAAGGGTGGGCATGAAGGGACTGGGAAATGAGTGGGTACTGGGAAATTGGGGTACATGATGTGAAATTTCCAAGAAATCTATAAAAATTATATTAACAAATAAAAGAAATAGAGTCCTGATGAAAGAGACTACAGAGAGACAACCGGTTCCCTCTACCTTGCGAGGGCAGCGTGAATAGATACCATCTATGAACTAGAAAGCAGTACTGACCTGCCAGTACCTTGATTATGGAATTTATGCTCTTTGTGTATGTGAGGAGTATCTGTTGTCTATAAGCATTCTAGTTTATGGTATTTTTTCACAGCATCCCGAGCTGATTGATATAACTGATATATTTATTGTATATACCATCCAGGCTAACTCTCCTACTATCTGACTATAATTAGTGTTTATCATTGAGGAATATATAAAACCAAATATAGAATTTTCCTTCAATATGATTTCTTTCTGACTTAATGAAACACTCACCGTTGTTGATTATGCCAAGTCTACTGGCCGGATCTTTGAGTAGCAGCTCAATGTGTTTTACACTCATCCTCATTCCCATTCATTCCCAAGTTGTTAATCATTTCCAGCCTCAATTGGTCTTCTGAGTTTCATCTTTCATCTTTTAAACCGAGCATATCCCTCTACATATTCTGCAAAACCTTCCACCAGGGTAAAACATCAAATTCATTTTATTTTATCTGTTAAAATTTCAAAAAGTATATCTTTGATATGACACATTATCTTCAAAAAGTATTTATTGGCTCACCATTGCCTACTAAATTACACCAAGATGTCTAGAGTATGCTCAAGGCTCTACATGATATATTTCAAGCTATATTTCAAGTCTTTTCTCTTTCATTGCTTTTCATCAGATAATCTGTCCTGAATACCAAGTAAAGGGGTAGTGGAACTTTACATTTGCCCACATTTATCTGCGTCTCTTCGTTTGCTCATTCTTGTTTGTTGATTTTGGATTCTAACTAATTATCCATCCTTCTGTCCTAATGGTTACCTCTTGTAGGATTTTCTCCATAGGCTCCACGAAATTTCTGCCCACTTTCCTCTCCAAAGAGAAATATTGTCTTTTCTTTTGAGATGTGGTATTATATTATTTTCTCCATCATCTTTTATTCTGTGATGCATATATGCATTAAAAATATGTACTTATATACTGGAAATATATGCACATATATAATAAATTTATAAAGCTCTCTACAATATTTTGAGGGCTCTCCTTAGACAGTTTACGTATATTTCTCCAAAAATGTTTATGAAGTTGCATTTACCTCTTTAAATCCTCATCATTTCTTGTATCTGTTTTTAACTCTGTTTTATTCACACGTTTTAGTCTATGTAACTTTAATTTAGAAATAAAATTATGTGAGACAAATCTGAGGGTCAAGTCTGTGAATCAATATCCAAAAAAAAAAAATCAAGACAAATTTTGATGAAAACTATGGTTAGACTATTGGTCTCAAACAAACCACTGGCTGAGAACTGAGTCAAAGAGAAATGGCTGTGCAGTAGCTATATAAAGAGTGCTTAAGGGTTTGACTTATAAAATCCAAGTTAGTTAATAGTATCAGCTTCACTGTTTATTAGAAGTCACACTTGGAGAAGTCACTTTATTTTTTAACATCTTTACTGCCATGAATTAAATACTACTGACCATGTGTTTCTGGAAGGTTTTTTTTTTTTTAATAATTTATTTTACCAAGGGAGATTTTTGTGTTAATCCTTTCTCATACCAATACCTCTGGCATCAATGTCTAGATCAAAATCTTATACTGGCATGGATAGAAACACTGAGGGGGTAGGAACTGACCTTGGAGAGTGGGTGGTTTGACTCTGGTAACTCTGTTTTGTGCCACTGCTTTTATAGGTCTACATTTTTTTTTTTTACTACTAGATTCTCTTTAAGAATAAGAGGTGAGGGTTCCAGTACCCCAGCCATATTTTCAACATTGAATCTGACTTTGTGGTACTACCTCAATAAACATGCACTTATTCTCAGCAATATCCAAACAGCAAGCTAGCAGTGCCAGCATTGGGTGTGAGAGCAGTTGTTCAATCTGCACATGTGATACTTATTATTTCTGGATCGCAGAGATATTAACTATCTCTGTGAGCATCTCTGCCTTTGGATTTAAGTAAACATTTTCTCATTCATTCAGTGTGCATGGTATTTCTTTTTCCTCTGAATGCTTAAATTATTTTATTAAAACCTATTGTCCAGTAGAAAAATTGTTATGTGCTCCTAGGAAGTCCATGAGTCTGATGTTCATGTGTACCTTTCACTGTAACGGGCAAGAAGCAGCTAGGTCGTTCAGTCTTTATCATTTTCCCAAATACCCTTCTCTGACTTCTTTTGGAACCCTCTCTTCTAATTTTCATGGAATCTTTTCTATAAACAGATATAATTCTATAAAAGCATTAGAGAAGAATAAGATTAAGAAATGTGACTGATCTAATTCTCATCTGTATCAGAATCCACTAAACATTTATTGAATAAAACTTTTAAAATGGTTGGGCACTTTTATTTATAGGACTATAAAATGTAGCGCACACATTTTAACTTTGTAAGCACTTCCTCAGGCTGTCATGATAGACGAAGGATGTAAAGTAGTGGGAAGAGTCGCAACTCCCCTATTCTGTAATAGGAAGAATCATACACTATGATACTACACAGTTTAATATGTTTAAGAGAAAAACTAATGAACTGTTGTCTCACAGTGTCATGCCTTGTGGTCTTACTTACATACTAGCATTTGTTTTTTTTTTTTCATAAGCATATTATTTCCATATGTATTGCTACAGTACTAGGCTAGTACTTTGTAGTTTTCTGTACAAATTCAATTACTTTGAATTGGTGGATCTACCTTCAAGCTGCCTTAATATTTGTGTGTCCAAGATATTTTTGAGAATCCATTGAGACTGTAGAATTTCTTTGAAAATGCAATTAGGTCCATCCTCGTAAAATAATTGTACATTTTGTATAAACTGCAGTAGGGCTTAGGAGTCCCTGAAATACGTGGGTTCCTAAAAAACACATCCACTTGAATTTACCATGTCTATCTCATCCATCCATCCATTTGCCCATCTCATGGTTTTGAATATGGACTAAGCCTTGTGTGCTTGCAACACATTCTAGAAATACAAAAATAAATGGGAAATGAGATTTTCAGAGTAACTCACATCTAGACTAAAGGAAACAAACATGTCCCACTCCCATGTGCAAAATTGTGCTCAGGGCATTTGTGAGCTACAGGATAGGCCCACACAAAAAAATCTGATTCTGTTAGAGGTCTATTTAGTAAGAACTTCAAGAACCAGGTGATTTCCCTAAAGGTATAACTTTGTTATTCTTCTCTTACACTAGACTACTTCAATGATACCTCATTAGGAATTTAAATTCCAGAGCTTAAAACATAAGGACCTTGTTAACTCAGTTTTAATCTATTTTGAGGGTTCAATTACATAACTTTATTTTAATTTCAGTTTTCTCACCTAATGGCAACAACATGCACAGACATTTTACCAAAAACTTACAGTTTTTATCTTTTGCTTATTTAAATGGTTAAGCATGAAGCCTTTGGGTTCTTGGTATATCTTGTCTTCATCTATTTTATCTGTCTGATTTGGGGTAGATGATTTGATTTGCTTGTTAGTTTACTCATCTATATGGAAGGAATGATGATGCACATCCTCAGGATGAGACATAATTGTTCAATGCAAACAACATGAACACAGTTTCTAATACAGTGCTACTACTACTATTGTGAGACATAATTATTACTTTTTACAGGTTTAAAAAAAAGCCAAGGTGGGTATGGCTTTCACATATAGGTGACTGTCTTAGCTCCATTTTCAATGTTGAAATAAAGTACTATAACAAAAGCAGATTAAGGGAGAATGGGCTTATTTTTAGCTCACAGATCAAGGTACAGTCCATCACGGCAAGGATGTCAAGGCAGCAGGAGCTTGAATCAGCTTTATGTCCTTAGTCAGAAGAGAGCAATGAATACATTCATGTGAGTGCTCAGCTTCTTTTCCTACTCTCACATAGTCCAGGATCCCCGCCTAGGGAATGACATACCTTTCTACTCCAGTTAACACAATCAAGATGATCCCTCAAAGTAACACTAAAAGGTCCATCTCTCAGGTGATTGTATGTTTTGGCAACTTGGCAATTAACATTAAGCATCAATCACAGTCATGTAGACATTGAATTTTTCACTTTGGATTGTAGTCTCTGTGATTTGAAAGACTGTGTATACGTTGTTTCATATGAGTGTGTGTGTGTGTGTGTGTGTGTGTGTGTGAGAGAGAGAGAGAGAGAGAGAGAGAGAGAGAGAGAGAGAGGTAGGTATGGAGAGGAGGCAGAACATGAGAGAAAGGAGAGGGTGCTGGTACAGTGATTGGCACACACCTAATTGCTTTCTTTATCTTTTTATTCAAGATTTTCCAGTCTGAATTCTCTGCTTCAGTTGTTCTTATCCCAATTTGCCTCACAGAAGCCTTCGTGCATGCTGTGCTTTATCCCTGTTTTGCAGTTAAACCCCTTATTCCTGTGTCAGTTCTTGGAAGAACAAGTCATGTTTGGGAATTATCTACATGTTTTCTGGTGATCACCTGTGTTAGTTATTCAGCTGTGCCCAAATGCAAAGAAACCTGGCAACAAAACTCCCAAACCAAAGCAACCAACCAAACAAAACATCCTGAAAAAATAAACTTGAAGGAAGAAAGACGGACTTTGGGTCCCACTTTCAGAGTCCATGGTTGCAGGACTTTCTTGCTTTTAGGCCTGAGGCAAAAGAGTAAAGTTGTAACAGGAACTGCTAAGCTGTCTTATTAACAGAAAACCTGGAGCCAGACATTGGGGTGAAAACTGAAAGATCTGAGAGCAGAGCAAGCCAGCTACAAGTTCTTACCTCTATGAAACCCTCAGTCTCAAGACAGTGAGTTCTTGTTTCCTCATGCCTTATATACCTTTTTCTGCCCTGCCCATAATAATGCCCATATTACTTCCTGGGATTAAAGGCATGTGTCCTTCCCAAGTAAAGACATGAGGTCTCAAGTGCTGGGATTAAAGGTGTGTGCCACCACTGCCTGGCTCTGTTCCCAGTGTGGCCTTGAACTCACAAAGATCCAAATGGATCTCTGCCTCCTCAGTGAAAGGATTAAGGGTGTGTGTCACCACTGTCTGGCCTCTATATCTAATTTGGTGGCTGGCTCTGTCCTCTGATTCCCAGATAAGTTTATTAGGGTACACGATATATCACCACGTAAAGTGAATGAGGCCAGGCTCTCCTCCTTCAACTCCTCCCACTAGTGACTTAATTTCTCCAAATTGGCCCATCTCCTAGTTTCCACCACCTTCAAACAGTGTCAACAAATTATGACTACATCAATGGATTAGTCAACTGTTGTGATTAGAATCACACAGTGCAACCATCTTTCGACAGCTCCATTAGCTGTTCATGAGTCTTTGGGGGACACTTCCTGTCTAAATCACAGAGCCATTTTATAGCCTCTAGACTCTACAACACTCACTGTGAATTAATCACCTAGCAACATCTTACTGAGCCCTTTATTGTTATCCTATAAGCTCATGCATTTTATGAACCCCTGCCCCAGAAACCACCCCTTCTTGGGAGCAGCCAGGTGGGTGCTCAGAGTGCCTGCTCTCCTGTCTGATGGACACATGTGCTTTTTCCTTTCTCCTGTATTTGTGTCACTAAGGATCAAATGCAGGGCTGTGTGCCTGCTAGACTAGCACTGTGCTGCTGAGACATGACCAGTCCCGATTGTTTAATAAAGAAAAGAAAGAAAAAAAAAAGGTAACTGTAAAGGATACTCTGTTTCAGTTTGAACAGAACTCTGCTATCATAATGTCAATAACAAGGAAAACAAGCTTCTGTTTGTACAAAGGGCTTCTTCAAAGTATAGCTAATGTATAAAGTAATGAGCACATTTTTATTCTCGTAGCTACAAGATGAATGAAAAGATAATAACGTGATGGGTTTATAGAAAATCATGGCATCAGAGAAAATATGACAGAAAACCTAGGTTGTTTTTTATCTCTTTTTTTCTGTTTATTATCTTATGAAAAATAAGTTATTACAGAATTTGGAGTCCTTGCTAATAGACACAGTAAAACAGCAATAACATTTGTAACAGTGCACTACTTATTTGCTATATATATGAGACAGTGGATAAAGTTCTCTATGTAGAGTTGTATGTCATTCCTTATGCACAAAGCACCATGCTGTGTGATACAGGGGCAAAGGTATCTAAAGGTAAGAACGGAAGACAACATTTGAATGAGGACTTTTTCTGCCCTTGGGATATTGCTCTTGCAATTCATGTTCACTGACTTAGCTGCCATTCTCTCCTTTGCCTGCACTGAAATAATTTTCTGCAGATGGTGGGGAGGGAGTCTTAGGGAAAAGAGGACTGTAAATAGATGGGTCTGATCTTGTAGTCACGCTGCATCTTGCCTTGTAGGAAATGCCTTCATTGAGGTAACTAAGCATAATCATGCCCTGTTGATTTTGGGAGTCAAAAAAAATTTCCTCCATGTCGGAAGAAAAATGTTTCCTTAATAGTTTTGTTCTTAACCTTAAGTGGAAAAAGATGAGATTAGAAAACTTAAATTTATATGCTTGTTATGTCATGGTTAGACTCTGCCTCATAAAGCAGTGTGACATTGTGCTTGTGAAAGAATGCAATTTCTCTGTTACATTTGCTTTTCGATAGCCAGTTTGCATTCTCTATCTTATTTGACCTCTCAGAGCAGGTGGCACAAGTGTGCCACCTATCCCTTCTAGGACATCATGCTTCTGTGGTTTTCGTCCCACTGAGCTGGCCAGTTCTTCTCAGTCTCATTGATGGATGCCTCCCTTTCAACCCTGTACTCTGACAGTAATTCAGCACACTGACTCCCTTGTGACAGTACTCAATTTGATGCTTATATACGAAGTACTTGCTAACTAACACCAAACTGATATCTTTAGTCCAGAGTTCTGGCTTAAACTATGGCCATTAACTGTTGACCTTGACTTGCCATCATTTGGATTCCTTCATCTTCAGCTGGAGCTGTCCCAAACTCCCTTCCACATTTATTCCATCCAAGGCTTTCCTGATCCTTTTGATGGCACTTCTGGGATTATGAGTGAGTAATTGAAAATGAAGGTTCATCCTTTGCCTCTGTCTTTTGGTTAACTCATCTCCAACCCATTATGAAATCCTCTTAACCACACATGGATATGTTTAAAATATATGTTGATTTTAACATTTTTTTTACTCCTTGCATTCTATTGCGCTGATCTGAGTCATCATCAATCAGTTCTTGTCTGAATAGCTAGAATCATATCCCAACCTAACCCGACTTTCTCTATAACCATTGCCACCCGCAGTCTAAGCCAAGTAGCTAGAATCATATTTCTAAAAAGTGGGTCAAATCATGCTGCTCTTTGCTTAAAACTCTAAAACAGTTTCTATTTCTACATAGAGAAAGTCAAGGAGGGTGAGTGGCTTCAAGGGCACCACATGACCTTGTCTCTTTCTTGTCCCTGGAGCTATCCTTTTCCTTCCTTCCATTATTCTAACATCATTGGACCCTGCTTTTTCTCAGTACAGTGGTACATTCCAGTATTTTCCTCCATTTCCAACACTTCTCTGTGTGTATCCTCTACTAATTTCCCAACTACCTAAAGTCTTCCAACTGATTGGCTCTCAATCATGCTTATGTTTCTTGACAGCCTTGATTGGAATAGCAACACCCCCTTTCTACACTAAACCACCCAACTCTCCACATTTACTTTATCTCATTTTTTTCTTCTACTTATTATTTATTGTATCTCTAGCTGTTGCATTGAAAATTTCATATGTGTATGAACCTTTGCTCATTTTATGCATTGCTGCATCTTAGGATACTACAAGATTCAGGCACATGATATCTATCTATCTATCTATCTATCTATCTATCTATCTATCTATCTATCAATCTATGTAAAATGTGTTGATGAATGAGTGATAGAGCAACTATAACCTGAGAATCTTCATCACTTGGTATTATATACTTGTTTTCATCAGAGAGAGTTTTCCATCATGTCTGATCATTGTGTCTTTTTAAAATGAAGGTCATGAGGGGGTAACCAGGCTTTAATGGAAAGATAGGGTACCACTGGCATGTATATCTCCTTGTTTTCTGGAGGGTTCTCTTTTGTTCTAGTATGCTCTTCTTTCAACTCTCTGGCCTGCAAAGAGAAGTTAATGGTACCTTTGAAAGTACAATTAAAGTGGTGTTTCAATCTCAGAATGGACAGCATAGTATTTTTTTTTCTTTCAAAACATGCCTGCACTCTTACAAGATCTAATTATTATTATTATTTTTTTTGGGGGGAGAAGAAAACAGTATATTAATTAAATAGTAATGTAGCTACTAATGCAGTAATGGACAATCTCGTATAATCTGTAGATTGAGGGAAGGTCCACTTTTTCACTACTTTCTGTGTGTTGGCAGGTGGCTGATTAACACTGAAAGCAATTCTTGGAAAGTTCTGGTATAGCAGCATAACTCTCATCAATATTTCAATGAGTACTGTTCTTACTAATTTTTTTAGTAATCCTATTTCTATTAAGTACTATTAAGAATACAGTCCTCCTTTCTAAGTTCAGGACCTATGTAGAAGAGGAAGCAGAAAGGCTTTAAAAGCCAAAAGTGGTATATGACTTTAGGGAAGCAGTGTTTTTCAGATATAACAGAGAAAATGCACAGAGATGGTGACAGGATGCACAGTACCAGAGCAGGCTCAAACCCGACAAAAGTTCCAACATGAAGGATGGGAGGGCATGAAGTCCCACCCCCAGCCAAGAGCTATTGGTAATTGACATCTGCTGGGAGACAGAGGGCCAGTTTTCTTCAATGGAGTGACACTGAGTATATCAGCTGTCTTAGTTATGGTTACTATTGCTTTGGTGAAACACCATGACCAAAATAACTTGGGGGAGGAAAGGAATTAATTGGCTTACACCTCCACATTCCAGTTAAGACTGGAACTCAAACAGGGTAGGAACCTGGAGGCAGTTGTTGGTGTAGAGGCCAGGGTACTGGCTTGTTCCTTAATGCTTGCCCATTCTGCTTTCTTATAGAACAAAGGACTACCAGCCTAGGGATGGCACCACCCACAATGGGCTCCCATATCAATCAATTGAGAAAATGCCTTACAGCTGGATCTTAGGGAGGCATCTGGTCAATGGAGGGACTCTCCTTTCGGATGACTCTAGCTTCTGTCAAGCTGACATAAAATTAGACAAGACAGTTGACCCCTTATCAACTTGACACACAAATATATCATTGTCAAGCTAAAACTTTTCCTTTCTTGTTCATCCCTAAGATCATACATTAACATCAACATCACAATATAAAATATTTTACAAATTTTAAAAGCCCCATAGTCTTTACAAATTCAAACACTTTAAAATTCAGTCTCTTAGCCGGGCGGTGGTGGCGCACGCCTTTAATCCCAGCACTCGGGAGGCAGAGGCAGGCGGATCTCTGTGAGTTCGAGGCCAGCCTGGTCTA